GCTGACGCTCCGCCCTCGCGATCACCGCCGCTGCGTCATACGGCCGGCGCAGCGCGGGATTGGCCGCAAGGACGGAGCGCTGGCCGCAGTCGCTCTCCGATTGGCAACCGTTTTTCGCTAATAACTCGTAAACGAAGCTCCGTAGAACATTTTTGCAAAGGAAAAAGTTGCTTCGAATCACCTCAGGAACCATTCTCTCCAAGATTGCGAGACATTTTCGGGACACCCTGTATATATATATATACACGTATATACACATATAGATAATAATCCAGTTCTTTGTTTGACGGGAAACCACTACGACAAACATTTTACAAGTACGGTTTTTAAATAGCGGTTCAAATTACTCACACCAAAATGGCTCGAGATTTCTAGGCGTGTGATCGCATGTGCGTAAAGGCAGTGCCGTTTGTAGTGAAGATATACATAATGTGGTTCGTTCAGGCAGCGATAGAATTGCGTTTTTTCTGCCCCATCCCCTTCTTCCATCGACATTTCGTGATTTTTAGCTTAATAAAAGAACAAAAATAAAACGAGATCTTATCGATACGGTATGATATGTACGAGACACATGCATAAATTGTCAACGATCTACGACCAACGCTAACTTAATTAATCCCGATATTGTTGGAATAAATAAGCGTGACGAGATGTTAATAAGATAAACACACAAAGTCGTTGCGTGGTGTTTAACACAGCGAAACGAGAGAAAAATTCTTGCTGGGTGTCCGACACGAATCTCACGACTTTTCAATTAATTAAATTAATTAAAATCAAAATTTCTAAGCGATAATAATTCATCCATTAGCGCAGCGTAGCTTGATTAATCGTTACGAAGTTTTTCGGAATATTATCGAATATTATATTATATAATATTATATTATAATATAATATCGAATATTATATTATATAATATTATATTATAATATAATACCGAATATTATATTATATTATATTATATTATAATATCGAATATTATCGATTTCATTTCCATGGATATAAAAAAAAATTCGAGCAGCAATATTCGACGAAATATTGAAAAAAACGATATTAATTGGTGCGCATAGTTTTCGAAAAAAAATCAATCGATAAATTAAAATCCATACTTATTATTCGTTTGAATCGATCGAATCGATTTGAATCGAAACTTCGAATACACGATCGGCTTTGGGATTCGATCGAATTGATCGAAATTTAACGGAAACTCGGAATTGAAAGAAAGTGTCGTTGTCAAACAAATTAATTTGTTTAAACGTTACTCGATATCTGCGGAAGTGCATTTTTCGGTTTTTCTTTACCAAATTGTTAACGTTACAGTTACAAACATAAAAACATAAAAATGTGTTTGGAGTATTTGAATCGACACGGTCTTTGAATGCTGACTTCGATGGAATCAAAACGAGCATATAACGTCGTCAGAGTTCGAACAAAAAAAAAATATGTCAACTAAAATTCATGTACTTACGTATATACATACACACACACATACACACATACATACATACATACATGCATATACATACATACACGAATATATTCAGAGCGGCGCGACCGCAAAAAATTTCAACTTCCCGCATTTTTAACTTTGTATTAGTAGATTACGAACACGAATGATTACCATTAATGTTATCTTACCACACGAATGTAAACAATAATATTTGTAATAGCTGTATATTTACAATTTACGACGACGAAACTCGGATAAAAAAAGAAAAAAAAAAGAAGAACAGATACGAGATTAAACGAGGAAACAATTTAGACACACATTCCCACGCAATTTTGCTATTATTGTTATAGCATAAAGTGTAAGTAAAACATAGTTACGAATTTAACAAATTAAATTAACTGTAATTACGAGCATCGAAGTAAAACACACAGTCTTGTCGCGATTTTACCGAGACAACGTAAAAAAAAATCGATGGAAAAAGAAGAACTGAATCTGGCGCGCTAGATTTACCGAACAACTTTTTGCTAATCGATTTACGGCATTCGATTGATAACGATTTCGTATTGTTAGAAATAGTTTCGCCTGATACGTTCGTTCGTTTTCTGCGATCGGTTCTCACGTTACAAATCGAATATTTTTTTCCGTTCTTAATTATTCTGTAAAAACGTTATTATCCGCTCAACTTTGACGACCATTGAACGACGATACAATTTCGTAGCAGCGATAATTTAGAGAGAAACGATAAACTATATTATTATACATACTAACGTATAACAGAGAAATCGATTAGGGATCGAGACGAGGACGAGAAGACAGTTAACATTTGAGATATAATTGTACATATAAGAGAGAGAGAGAGAGAGAGAGAGAGAGAGAGAGAGAGAGAGAGGAGGATCGACGAGCGCTTTCTCTAATTAAAAATATTCTACCGAAGAAATCTTATCTTGTTCCCCCATAAATATGTAAAGATTACAAATGTTGATTTTTACTATTTGCTTGAACCTGACGGGAGCGTTAACTGATGCGAACGGACGCCTGGGTATGCTGTCTACTTTTGCGATAATCACGCGATGTACTTGTAAGATACGAAACGTGGATAGAGAGAGAGAGAGAGAGAGAGAGAGAGAGAGAGAGAGAGAGAGAGAGCTCCGTGTCGGAGAGTCGAACACGAGAACGGTAATAGAAATCCCATCGGCTTGTACGGGTACAATTTTCTCGACTACCGAAAGAAAAGAGACCACATATCCCTTGTTTTCATGTATTATAAAAAATAGAGCACCGTCGTTGCAAATGGACCTTTAGAAGGTCCTGTCCTCCCCGTTCGAACAAACAAACAAACAAACAAAGAAAAAAAAAAGGAAGAATGAAAGAAAAAAAAGAAAATGCATTGAATAATAATGAAACAAAAAAAAGAGAAGAGAAAAAGAAATACGAAAAGTAAGTCTCGAGTTTAAACGAAACGAGAAGGAATAATAATAATAAAACGATCGACGAGACGAGAATAGAAGAGAGAACATATAAACATGGGTAACAGCATGTATGTGATCGAAATCGATTCTTAAAATCTGCCTGCATACACCGCCACGTGTACCGACGTTTAAGTGGATCGTAATTTGTAAATTACTATGGACTTCCTAATTATATGCTGGTATATGATAATACATGTGCTCTGCCACAATAAAGCAGTTTTTTTTATCTAAAACGAGAGACCGTCATTTTTTGTCGTTTTGCAACCCGTTTGCGGCCGCAATGTTAACACGTTCACTGGCAATTTATACGATTTATACAATTTAGAAAATCCTTATCGTCGACTTCGCTTGAATTAGACGAATTTCGAAGGCTTTATAAAATCATTGTAATTCTTGACGTCGAACGTATTAATATACAGAGGCTGTTCCTTTAATTTTCCTTTTGTGAATTGTACAGCATGTTCCAGTTTTTCTCTTTCCAGGCGTATCTAGGAGTAGAAATAAGTGCATATAAGTGCATAAAAAAACAAATTAAAGGACTCAAAAAATTCTTAAACATGACATATTATTGATTCGAGCTTGTGATAAAAGTTACTTTAAAAACGCAGGAATAATGAATGTTACTAGTTTCTTTCTAATTAAAATTAAATTCTACTGTTCCGTTATTAGACTAGACTTATCCGCTGGAATAAATGTAAGCATACAATAAAATTTATACGTAATATTATAAAATTTTTTTTATTATAAAAGTATGGCAGGACAGTTCAAAGCTTCATTAATAATAATTAGAATAACTAGACTGCGAATTTTTATACATCTATAGAAATGTCAAAGTTGTAATATATGTGAAAAACGGTGTATTAATAAAAACTAGTATCTCCCATTTTTTAGTTTTTACAAAATAAGTTGGGAAACTTATGCAAAAACGTACCGCGAGGAAATAGCGTTAACACTATTTTTACCAAAGAAGACAAGAAACACCTTTAAGAATTTTAATATAACGCTATCTTCACTAAAAAAAGTGAAAGGTCATCTTTCAAAACTTTAATTCATCATTTTCTAAGTTTAATCATTTTTCCTCAATTGTGTGTTCCCTTTTCAACATTCGTTATAATGATTATAAAATTAATTTGATAAAAATAGTTGTATGTATATCAAAATCAGCAAAAATAGTGTTAACGCTATTTAAAAAAATTACGACGCGTGATATATGTATTTTCTTATTTCTCTTACAGCAATAATACAATAGACATAACGTGTCAGATCATTGATATGTTCGACGGCACGAGGGTAAGTTTTGCCATAACAACTAGAAACGTGGCAGCGCCGTTATTCTGCAGTTCCTGACTTCTGTTACTGGCTATATAAGAACACTGAAGAATTCTTTATGCCTATATAAACAATAGCAAAATTGATCCAGCCGTTGAACTGCTCAATAATATTTCAATAGTTCGAATATCAAACTCAATTGCATAATAATAATAATAATAATATTACATTAATATTTCACGCAATGCTGTGTAGTCATATTAGCATTAAAATCTCATTGCTATAGTTAGGACTAATTCTCTAAAATATAATATAATTTATTATTATTATTATATTATTATTATTATTATTATTATTATAAATTTAATTTATTCTCTAATAATATAATTTCTCCTATTACCTCTAACGTAACGTAACAGCATTAACAATGCACTTTGCTACGTAAACGCAATAATATGCTCTCCACAATACCAATAAAATCTCATTGGTCTAATTAAAATTAATTCTCTGTTCCTATTAATATAATTTCTCCTATTTTAAATTCATCATAACGTATTTGAGATCATTTGTGAAATAACACATGCTAAAAGTTCTTAATAAATCGTAGAAGAAAAGTCGAAGAAAAATCAGTGACGCGCTTATATTTTAAATATTAACTAAAATAAGGTCGATATAAATATTTTTCATGAAACTCTGATTCGTGCTCTATCGAAGTCAGTGGCAGTCGTCAGTAAACCGTCAGTTTGATCATGCGTGACGCTACTCGTACGCAGAGGTGGGAGTAATTGTTCATGAAAATTTGATAGGTTTGCATTAACTCGGCCGACCTCTTAAACACCTGGACGATCAATCGGTACATATCAAAGACGGATTTATGTGCAGCGCGCCGTTTTCTTCGATCGTGCCCCATGTAATATTTTCCGTTGCCACCGGAAAGGTGGGATACATAATCGGCGATGATCGTGGCCATATTGCAATATTTTCGATTTAATAGGAACGTGACAGATGTCGAACGGACGAGCGCATCGAATCGAATCGAATCGGACAGCGATTTAATATACCGTGGAAAACTTCATTATCTTCTTCCCGGGAATGATTTTCGGGGTGACGCAATCAATCCGTGTTAAATATCGCGTTCGATCCGGACGAAAGGGGCCTTCGCAATATTCGAAACTTCGTGTGTAAAAGCGGTTGGTTTCGAGTGCGACGTGATCGATACGCAACTGACCCACCGAGTAATTCCGAAGGTGTCCGTGGCGCGCCGAGGGCGGCCGATCTCTAACGGAACTGGCCGAAGCTCCGTGAGCAAACGACGCGTACAGAAGAACGCGGGGTCTTCTCCGGCTTGGGTTGAAACAGCGTTCGCGTCTACGGGCGCGGCTTTGCGTCTCGAGCTGGCGTTTTACACAGTAAAATGTCCTCCCTCGATTATCTGGACCTGTGTCGGTTGTGTCTCGTGAAGGACCGTGTTTCGGTGCCGATTTTCGGGGGCGAGGGAAACGATCTTTTTCTGAAGATCGCCGCCTGTCTACCGGTCAAGGTAAGCCAACTACGCCATCGCATCGACAATGGCGGTCCGCCATCTTGTGCATTTTCATAGCTACATCGCGTTTCCTGGGCCGTCCACGACTTTTCAACCTCCCAGTAGATATGCGTTCGGTTCTCTTTCTTTCGGAGATCGCCCTGTACAACGATGATATTCATGTAGCAATTGAAAGTAGCCCGAATGTGGCGATATCGCAATGGCCCACACACTCTGGTGTTGTAGTGTTTTCCTTTCCCTTTCCTTCTCGCCCAGACTTATCCACCTCGCCCACGACGCCAACAATTATTCAGAAATTTTGCCGCGCTTTTATCTTTTAATCCGACCAATTTCGACGATTTTCCTTTATTACCGCCGCTCGCTTGCTGTGCCCTGCCGGCTATTTTCTCACACTTTGTTATTCGTGACTGACGACGGGTAATATTAATTTTCTTCGGGCAATTAATATGCTAATTGAATAATCGCCCTCGTTTTCGATATCGTATGTTCGATACAACATTGTCTCTGTTCGAAAATATATACAGTTTATGGTATTTTTTTAGGCGTTTCGAACCACATAATTTAACATTTTCAAATTTTTCTTTGTTAAAATTATACGTGCGTCGATAGATCGAATTTTCGATGATTTATTGAATAATTTAGTACTTTTCGATAAGCCTCGTAATATGTAATTTCATGTGTTTCGCTTATTTGTATATTTCAAGATACGCGATGCCAGCGAAATATTTTTTAGTTTCCGATTTATGCGGATAACTTGTTTTAATTGCATTGTTTTTGTTCGTAATTGCAGGTTGGAAGGGAAGACAAGCTACCGAAGAAAATATGCGACGACTGTGTGTATAAAGTAGAATTATTTTACGAATTTTGGAATACAACAGCAAACGCCGAAAAGCGACTATTACAATGGCTGGGAGAAGTCAATGTCGAAAGCGGCAAACAGGGTTATGTTCCCAATGTACTCAATCCGGTAATTGCTTCTTTTTTTTTCCACGAAGTATATCCTTCACTGTCTTTCGAGAAGAATTAATTGCCCTCACTGTATACATAGAAAACATGAGAGCGTAGATGCTCTTTTATTTGCAAGATGTTCAATTCAATTTGCCCTTAGATACAGTTATATTACAAGATAAAAATCATTTTAAAACGTACATTGTAAGTTGACTAATTTCACATTTCATACTTTTTGCAATTATTTTTGTTATTATAAAAAATTCTGAGAATTTTTGTTACTTATTTTTGATAGTTTCATTCAGTAATATACTTAGAGGTTATACAACGTTTATTATTTACAGCGACTCCCATGAATATTCGTACCCCTTTTAAAACTCGATAACTTTTCTAAAACTGGACCGAACGATTTTAATTTCTTTTTTTTTGGATAATAGAGGAACTAGCATACTAGACAATGACTAAACTTCTTTGTTACAATTTTGCTATTACTTGGAGACAAAAAAAATAAAAACACTGTCATTTTTAAACTTTTTTATGCGAACCCATAACGAAAATTCAAAAAATGCCTTTCGTACAATTTTCAACATGCGTATAAGTTACCGAGATCTACGAAAGCCATTTTTTAAATGTTTGTTATAGACTCAGATAAAAAAGTTAGAAAATGGAAGTTTTATTTTCTCTTGCCTTTCTAAGTAATAGCAGAATTTAAAAAAAGCATTCTAGTTATGGTTTAGTAGACTGGCCCCTCTATATCACCTAAGAAAGATTTAAATCGTTTATTCCAGTATTAAATTACGAATGTGTTCATAAGAGTTACTGCATATTGTTTTTCTGCTTTGAAATGATTGAAAGTCATTAATTAATTTTATATCTTGTAAACATTTGATTACAGAATGTGATGAAACAAGAACAGAGTACAGAGAACAGGTTAGATGGCAGCGTGATGCAGCAAGTTGGCGAGCATCAAAACAATATGGGCATGAGTATGATGGACAACATGGGCCTGGGCATCCCTATGATGATACCCAATACTAATCAACAACAACAAATAACCTCAGTTCCTATGGACACAAGTGGCAGTCCTGCGCAAAATGTTCAAGCAGTGCCTGGTCCGAGTTCACAAACTACGCATAACCAAATATCACAAAATCAAACCAGCTCGACACAACAAGAAGACGAAGAAGAGAGTAGTGAAGATGATGAGAATTCCGACGACGAATGTGATGGAGATGAAGGTATATACAAAATGAGCATAATTGTGTACTATATCGCAGTTTCATTTGCCAATATATTGTATTGCAGAGTTATTTAATTGCTACAACTGTGTATTCTATTAACAATTTCTTGCATATTCTGTAGGCCTACCTGTAAAAGAAGAGAGCGAAGAAGACCCAAACAGTAGAACTATAGAACCTACAACCTTTGTAAATGTTTCTTTGGCGTGCGACGAGGCGGGTCCTTCAGGGTTGCAACAGCAGAAAATCACAGACATGCCTGAGATGCCAATATCACAGTCGGCGGATGGGGATCCCAAAACTGGGTGAGTTTTTTTATCCTTATTTGACCTTTTTTCAGGGCCAAAGGTGCAAATTTGTTGTGGAAATCACATACATATACACAAATATTCTTATCACAGCCGTATTTGACATTTTTGAAATTCGACACTTTAAATTTCACTTCGTTTATTTACCGACGTAATAATTTAATTATTCATTATAGTTTCTAAAAAATTATTTCTAATATTCTTGCAATATTTAAGTTTACTTCGATTCTTTGCTTAAATTGAAAATTTGATTATTATATCCTTGCAAAATGTTTCGATCAACGGTAGATTTTTATTTTCCTCGTGCTACATGATATTTTAAAGAACAATAAATTTTGAGATCGGAAGAATTGAAGAATTTGTAGTCTTTGCTTCGTAAAAAGATATTCTTAAGAGTTAGTCACCTGATTCAAGAACGTGTGGTGCAATATATTTATAAGGTAAGTTCGTACACACCCCACAACCATCTTTGGCTCTTTGTATTTTGCAGTTTGGTAAATAATTTCTCTAGATTCATTTCTTTTTTCAAAATCTTATGCGAAACCTAAAATGACCTGTAAAAATTACTATGTAACCATCATAAATAGGAAAGAAGGTTCTAAATCAAATTGCAAAATACTTTCATATATTTTACATATAATAGCATGTATTTAGAATTCATTTCAATAAGATCTAGCTTTACCAAAAAAAAGCATCGAATTCGTTCAACGTAACAAAAAATTCAACATTCTGTTTATCTGACGCTCTTATTCAAATGAACTCTACCCTAGCTATTATTCATACGTGTACAATAAGTGAACAGAGGGATCCCGTTAATTACACGTTTAACATATTAACATATATATGTATTTCTCATTCGATTTCGTTCAATTCGTATATTTCCATTTCATGGTTCATGTTGTCGAAGGAATGTGCTCGATGATGAATCCCTCTGTTCAACCGAGAATCAGATGTTTACATGTTGTCAGTATCAATATCCCACGCTTACGTGAAGGCACAAAATGCCGCACACGGCCGAAAATTGGCCGCAAAAAAAAAAAAAGAAAAGAAAGATCACAAACTAATAACTCTCGTAAAACTAACGTCCATGATACGTATAAAACGCTCGGTGCGTCAGTCACCGAGTCATGTACGATTTAATTCGTAAAGAATACCGTTTCTTGTCGTCTTCGTGCTTTCCAAATGCCTACGCTTTTTACATTATCGTCAGGACCACATATTAGTTTACCATTAATAGCGTATCGGTTAGTTTGTAAGCGCTGTTGTTCCGTTCACTACGTTGAACGAGAAACGTGTCGAAAACAGAAAAGAACGAAATACACCACTGACCAACCTCGGTGGCACACGTAACGGTCCAGCCATAAGTTTCGCTCGCACGTACAATCCGATTTATGGCTGGCATCACATCGTTCGACGCCAACTCGACGTATTTGAATAGTGTTTTGCGATTGAAAAAAAAACAAACAAACTATGCAACGTTATTTTTAAAACGAGAAAAAGGATACGAAAAACGATTAAAAGATAACAGACGTAACGTGATATTACACGAAGAGAAATAGTCATCGCACGATAAACGAAGCACGAAGAGGACGTTTTCATGTACCGTTCAAAAGGCGAGTATCCTATTTTTGTATATTATAAGATTGTTTATCGTCGGATATGTATATATATAAGCGTATTATAATGTATACTCGTTTCCATGATTTTTACCATATTGTTATATATATGATGTGTCTCGCGTTTGTATGCCGCGATTTTCACGGAATCGTCGTGCACGCTCCAGCATAGTTTTCTTTTTTGCTGGAAATTTGCTGCGCTTCGAGACCGAGCTGAACTTTCATATCGCGCACCGAATTGCGTGCAGCGAGGCGTAACATTTTTTTTTTTCACACTTTAGCGAAAACAATCGGACCGTTTTCGCAGCGGTGTTTTTGCACGAAAATCCGTCACACACACGGATATTTTTCAAATATTCTCGCGAAAATCTGTGGCCGTGTTCGCGCGCACGCCCGACGATTAAGGCTGATTTTCTGTGCGCCATTTTCTTTGCAATTTCTACATTTTCTTTTCCTTGTGCAGAATACACGCTGTCCGTCAAGCATTTGTTCACACAAGAGTGATTTTTTTTTTTGCTGATCACCCGGTGGCTTCAGGAACATTTCACGTTTCCGTTTGGACATTTCAACGCGCGCGAAACAGGAAACTGTTCCATTTCACCACTCTGTGATCACGTTTTTCATGACACTTTCCGGTGTTACAATCCGCGGATACTTGCGATATCAGCGTTTTAGATATCAGCAACGGTTTTTCATTGAGAAACAATTTCCTTGGAAACAATGATATCTATATGGCTGAAAGTTTGTGCTAATATGAAGACGAAGAAGAGGGGGCCGCTCAGATTGGATTTCCTTTGAAAGGTGAGAATCCGATTTTTATTAATAACATATACTGGATTTTGTTTTTTCGAAACCTACTCTCTAGTGACTTTTTCTTAGCAAGGGTTTGCTTTCTTTGAACTTTCTCGCCTACAAGTTTCGAAGCTTAACTCTTATATCCTTCCTCCTGCTGGTTTGCTGTAGAAAAAACCTTCTCATTCCTTAATCCGGTTTGTGCCGAGATCTGTTTTACTCGTAACCCCCAGATTTGTTTGGAAAGTCGAGAGAAACTAATGTAAGTCTAGAATACACGATTCCATTTTGATTTTTCTTTCCATACACACTCGCTATTAATCCATCTTTAATGCTATAATACAGTCTTAAGGTATAAATGATACGTGACGTTATTTAATAGCATATATACATATATATACATATCTAATAGTATATATATAATATAAAATACGTATATATATAATATAATGAAGGACAAGACACTGTATCGTAGAAACATAAAGGTAAAGTGTAATAAAGAGACGATCTTCTGGAGCGGAATAGATCTATAAGAAAGAGAGAGAGAGAGGGAGAGAGAAAGATACACGTTGACAGTAACGATGACGACGGGACACTCTCCAAGCTCGCACATATAACTTCTCTGGTCGCACTTTTGATCGCTGTGTGTCTCGAGGACGAACAACACTATGCTCGAGCACTGTGCACGGTCTCACACTATGTAGGTAATATAATTCGCACATATGCACACGTAAAGAAAAGAAGAGGCGTCAGAGATCTTCTCCATCTCCGCTTGATCTGTCTTTCACCGCAGCCTGATATATATATATAGTTTACTAGAGAACACAAACACAAGATCACACGAGAAAAACCGAGTCAGAAAAAGGCAATGCTATTTTGTGTGCTGGTGTAACGGTTGTCCTCCGATGCATTGTCGTTGGGTTTTGTCGATTTCAGGGAGGCCAGCGAGACGTTCGGCGGATTGTCCGGGATGCTGCGTCAAATACTGTCGCCGTCGCCCGAGACCGCCGGGGACCCCGGTTTGCCCCTCGGTTGTACCCTGCTTCAGAACAGCTCCATGTACACGAACCAATCGTCGATGATGCAGTCGACGTTCCAGACCGTCCCGTCCCACCACCACCACCACCACATACCGTCCATATGCTCCGACCAAAACCTGTTGGACCACGTGCAGATCGTCGTCGAATCCCATCCATGTCCCACGTGCGGCCTCGAGTTCCGGAGTGCCCTAAAGCTGAATTACCACATGAGAACGAGCCACGTGGTGATGCCGGAATTCGAGCACGGCCTAGTAGAGAGCAACGCGGTGAGGTACACGTGCGCCGTCTGCTCGCGGAGCTTCTTCGCTCTGAGCCACCTGCGGATGCACGAGGTGACGCACACGGTGCCGGCGGCCGCGTGCCCGCCGATCTCGACGATGTCGGCCGCGGCGGCGAGCGTCGAGAAAACGTTCGCCTGCGACCGTTGCCAGGCCAGTTTCCGTTACCGTACGCTCCTCGAGCGGCACCGGAGGATGCACGAGGTCGGCCAGGAGAAACCCTATTCGTGCCCCAGGTGTCTGATGCGGTTCGAGACCCGCAATCTGTACAATCATCACGCGAAAACCCACAAACCGATCCTGACGGGTAGTAGTAACGACCGTATCACCGACACGTCCATGGTGTCTTCCGGTGATCCGGTCACCAGCAGTATTACCGGTAGCATAACCGCCGCCGCCGCGCCGCAGAACAAGTCGATAGCCTCGTCGTATCCGTGCGACTCCTGCTCGAAACAGTTCGCCAGCATGGAGTCATTGACCACTCACAAGGCTGTGCACAGGTCCAGATCGCTCGTCTGCGACGTCTGCGGCAAGGGGTTCACCCATCGCAAGTATTACGTGGTGCATCAGCGCATCCACACCGGGGAGAGACCGTATCTTTGTGCCATGTGCGGGAAGTCGTTCACTCAGGCCTCCACTCTGACCGTCCATCGTCGTTATCACACTGGCGAACGACCTTATACCTGCCCGCTGTGCGGTAAAGGATTCGTCACCAGAACCATCATGCTGAATCACATGAAAAAGCATTGAGAAAACCACAACCCCCCCGGGTAGACCGCGCGAGAGAGTTTTGTTGATTGATATCTCGCCGCAATGTGCGAGGCGTGGGGGGATTCATTGAGTCGCGTTCCGTTGCGAAAGTGATTTTTTTCTCGGTTATTATAGTTCATTGTTTATTGTTCATTCGAGTCTAATCCGTTACTGCGATTGTACATGATATTATTTATTATTAGTGTTCGTTCTAGAGAGCTCTTTAGGGATATTAAAACGTTTTAGGTTTTAGTCAGAGGCAGAGATATGCAATGTAATTGATTTGTTTTTGAGTTCTTGGTATCTCAGCGTGGAGAAAGTCGTTTTATTCTAGTACAAGGTACTTTAAAGTTGTTCGCTATTAGGCAGTCGTAATTAACGTAGCCACCAGTGATAGGAAACTGTCTAAGATAACTAAATTGTTTCGTTTATATTTTTACAAATTTTAACGACCGGTTGAGAAAAGCTTGCCGTGCTTTTTACGTTCTGTTGGATTTGTTGATTAATGGTAGGTATACAGT